TCGTCCAGAACGGACGTTCTGGCAAGTCAGAACGGACGTTCCGGACTTGCAGAACGGACGTTCTGGAGTCGTCTTCAACCTCCAGACTTCGCGTTTTCTTCTGCGGACCTAGAACGGACGGTCTGACCTCAGACCGGGCGTTCTGGTCCTCGGATTTTCACCAAAATACACAAACATGCATGATTCACTATGGGTATAACACTAAAACTCATAAAATTGCATGCACAACACAAATCAAACATCAATTTCGCACGAAATCACCCAAAACCCAAAACCCCATGTCTAACAGACCTCCGAATTAAACTCGAATTCACTCACCTCGGGTTAGATTCACGCGTTGGGTGATGTATGGGAAGCTTGGTGGTGTTCCTCTGCGTCTGTAGAAGCAAGTAACGTCGTGAGTCACTCGGATTTGAGGGAGAATTCGGCTCTGAGGTTGGAGAAGAATGAAGAGGAAGAAGGTGTCTAAATAAGGTCCGAATTGGTCGAATTATTGACTTAAATCTGGACCCAGGCGTGGAGCAAATCGTGCTTAGGGTCAAAAGGTCGGGTTTTCTGGTCGGATTAGTGCATTTGGGTCGCTTTCAGGTTGGTCCGGACGAAAATCATCGCTTGGTCGTTGCCGACAGTCTGGTCCGTCCGTTCTGTGGTCTGGAACGGACGTTCCGGACTGCGCGAGCGGTCCGTCCGTTCTGGACAACCCAGAACGGACGTTCTACGTTTTTTTTTTTTTTTTTTTTTTTTTTTTTTTTTTTTTTTTTTTTTTTTTTTTTTTTTTAAATCTGGGTTGTTACAGATTCCAACTCTTGGAATCTTGCTTGCTGGAGCTTGAAGAGATTAAATCTCTTGTGTATGGATCTCAAAAACACTTTCTTGAGTTTGAGAGAGTTTCTTCAACTTCCAGACACTTCCCCAGGTCTGAAAGTTCGAATGATTGAGAGAGAAGCGCGTTCCCTACTTGTTTCCACCAAGAAAAGTCGAAAAATCGTACTTTAGAATTTCTGACGCTTGGTCCAGAGCTGACCAACACTTGGTCCGTCGGACCAAGAACATTGCGCTGCCGACAGTCCCGAAAATTCACGATCCGGTGGACCAGAATCTCGGTCCGTTGGACCAGGCATGTTCAGACCACACCCTTACTCCGACTGACTGGTCTGCTCCAACTGACCAACTCTTGGTCAGCTCCGGACCAGCCAGTTATTTCGGCCAAGTTCATCCGCCTCTCTCAAGTTCGTCTAGTCCGGCTGACCAACTCTTGGTCAGCTCGGGACCAGACCTCAAGACGGAGAAAAATCCGATTTTTCTCGTCTAATCGATCTCGTACATACACGTCCATCCCATATGTGTGTGACCCTTTAGGCTCCTCCGAATACGGCAGTAAACCCGAGATCCAATCTCGCTTTACAAATCATAAGCGGTCTCTAGTAAGACATTATGATTACCCGTATCGAAAAGAGTTAGATGTGATCTAACCGAAAAGCCAGAGATAGCTCTAACGATGATCCTCTTTGTCTCACGATATCATAATCGAACTCATAGTTTGATTGCTTCGTCGTATCACGAGTAGGCTGTAAGAGATAGATGTCATTCATCTATAGTGCAGCCACACATTTCTACAGTCTCACTCCTACGACGGGACCAAGAGATATCTCTATTTTTCGAGAGGGACAAAGTTCCATCTTGACTATCCACTATCCATTTCATGATTCGTAATGTACCCGAGCCACACCTTTATAATCATCCGGTTAAAGACGACGTTTGACGGAGACAAAGTACATTACTCCTCATGATGGATACAATAGACATCTTAGGTCTGAGGATCCAAAGTGAACCATCAAGTGAGATTCAAGTCATGGATAAAATCCAATCGACAATCTCACGCGAGTCATCTAGTCACTTGTTCTAAACAAGTACTCATGACCGTGATCCGTATCCAATACACATGATCATCATCATGATCATCCATCACGCTTCATGTTAGTCTTAATTCATCATTGCTCTCACAATGACAAGCGACTAAAGAATTTAGGGTCGTTCATAACGATCCATGGATATCATTAATTATCAAATATGGAAAATAAATAATGAACAAACAATGCGTTCATCCAATAAATTCATCGTATCATACATAGTTCTCATATCGTATGATCATCCTAGAGCATCACATCCATCAGTCTCCCACTTGCTCTAAGTATGATCTACAATGCATCTAAGTCCCATACCCCGGACATGACCCTCATGCTTTGACGAAGGGAGATGCTTCGTCAAGGGATCGGCTATGTTGTCATCCATCAATATCTTACATATGTGCACATCACCTCTGTCTACGATTTCCCTTATGAGGTGAAACCGTCTGAGTATGTATTTGGATCGTTGGTGTGACCTAGGTTCCTTAGCTTGTGTTATCGCCCCATTGTTATCACAGTATAACGCAATGGGGTTCACAACGCTAGGAACAACGCCCAGGTCACCCAAAAACTTCCTGATCCAAACAGCTTCCTTCGATGCATCCGATGCGGCAATGTACTTAACCTCTGTAGTATAATATGCTATGGTGACCTGTTTGGAACTCTTCCAACTAACAACGCCTTCATTCAAGCATAAGACATAGTCTGATTGTGATCTGTAGTCGTCTTGGTCCGATTGGAAACTAGCATCGGTATAACCCTTTATAGCGAGCTCGTCTTCCAATCCACCATATATCAAGAATAAATCCTTAGTCCTTCTCAAGTACTTAAGGATATTCTTGACCGCGATCCAGTGTGACTCTCCTGGATCCGACTGGTATCTGCTCGTAATGCTTAACGCGTACGATACATCTGGCCTAGTACATAACATGACATACATGATAGATCCTATTGCCGAAGCATATGGGATCCTATCCATACGTTCTCGCTCATCACGTGTCTCAGCACACTGAGTCTTGCTGAGAACAACAC